CCAAATTAGTGTTTTTAATTCTATATTTGGCTGCCCTGCCTCTAGAATGCTGGAGGTGCTAAAAACAGACCTACAGAAACTGTGAGGCTGTTATTCGTCTCAAGAGCAGTTCGGGTCATCAAACCAGCTTTACTGATGAAATTGTGTGATGAAAATATGTCAGGTAGGTTTCTCTCAGTTTGATATCTATTTAGGAGATGTATCCCCAAAGAAATAACTGACTGCAGAGAGCAGGCATAATTGTCATTAGAGGTAACATTCCCTTGTGTGCATCGAGAGAAAGAAAATTATGTGATCCAGATATGAGCAGCTCTTTAATCTTTTATTATATGCAAAACAGCGAGGCTCAGAAATTAGCCTGTTCTACTTCCCATCCGGTCTTGCCTTTTTTCCTCTGAATCGGAGCACTTTTACGTCTGCCTCACGTTTCCAGACAACAAATACAATCAGCAAGTTGGCTACAGTTTCCCTTTCTGATCAAGGCAGTTTTAACCCAAGCAGGCTCGGTAACAGAGCCTTGGTGACCTGAGACGTGACACCACGTCCTGACATGGGTGTGAGAAGTAGCTCGATTTCCTTTCACTCTGGACTCATCTTTCATTATCAGAGCTTTTGAGCATAGAATACTCGCCAGACTACCAAGAGAAGTGTTTCCTTTTTTTTTTGAAAAAAAAAAATTTCCTTTTTTTTGAAAAAAAAAATGTTTTGAGAGAGAGAAAGAGAGGGAATATGCACGCACGAGCAGGGGAGGGGCAGAGAGAGATGGGGGGGGGTCAGAAGATCTGAAACGGGCTCCACGCTGCTGACTACAGTGAGCCTGATGTGGGGCTCAAACTCACGAACTGTGAGATAATGACCCAAGCCCACGTCAGGTGCTGAACCGACTGAGCCACTCAGGCGCCCCATCTCAATATCCTTTTCAATAAAATGCCGATCATAATAATCTCTGAGTAGTTGGACCAACTGTGCCATGGAATCTGCCTCAGAAAGTCTTGTGTGGGGATTTAAGTGAGATACAGATTTTTAAAAGCTTATCATAACGTCCAGCCTAAGACTAAGTGCTCAGTAATGGTAGCTCATAAAAACAGTATCTCTGCTCCACTTCCTCAGTGACTTTTAAATAGTCTATTCGTGGTGTTCATTTATAAACAGGTCACCATTGAATTGTGTTGCTAGTGTTCTATTGTAGGTGATAACCTCTCTGTGGTTATCACAGCCTTCTGGTAATCAAAGGGCCCCAGACACCATAGGCCCTTGGAAGAGTAAAAATACTTTTAATGTGTAAAACCACTTCCTAGTTAATCTGCTGAGTTTAGAGTCTCTTCTGCGTGTCCGTGTCCAACCGCTGAGCTTGAACAAAAGAAGCCGGCTTATTCCACCCACCCGAAGGGTCGTGTCCTTCCAGCACCTTTTCCAAACACCTCTCCACTGCCCCCAGCAGGCAGTTAGTTCGCTGTCCTCTCATGGGGTCTGTGCAAGGATGGGTGTATATACTGGCTCCTCCGTGATGTTCGTCATTATCTGTCTCTATGCCTGTCCCTCAAAGGTCTTTGACTCCTTCAGGACAGGACTGTGTCCTATATTCATTTATATGATAGCACGGAGCACATCCTCACAAAAATATATGGGATGAATAAATGAACCCCTGGGTAGGGCTGAGAGGACATAAACATGGTTATGTGGGTGAACATGCTTACTTTCGGAGACCTTTGCCAAGATGACTGATTTCACTGCCTTTCCTTCCCTTTCAAAAACTGGAGAGCAAAGATAGAGAAGAGAAATGCTTAATCATAACACCACAGGCCAATTGAAATGGAGTTTCAGCAGGAAGATTTAGAAGCTCGAAAAACTGACGTAGGATGTCTTCCGAAAGCTGTACGGGGAAGATTGACGTATTTGTTCGGGACAGGGTCAGCTATCAGGGGAGGGACAGACACTTCAGGCGTATAGGCCACAAGGTCTCCCCTTGTGTGATAAGTTTTTTTTTTTTTCTTCTCCCATTCCCTCCTTTCTGGGAAGTTTTGATAAAGTCCATTTAAGCCATGGGAAGATTGACTTTATCCTTCGTTGTTCATCTTTATGTTGTAGGTGTATCTGTACTTACATCTACTTGTATATTGGGTTTTTTTTTTTTTAGTTGTAACTACAGCAGAAATATATTTTAAAGCATCACAAAAGTTTATGATATATTATCAAACAAAACAGAAAAAGCATCGTAATGAATGTATAATGGGATGCCAATTCCATTCCAGTTCTGCGGCATCACGGGTGATTTGTTTCCACTTCCCTGTGCTTTTCTGAATTTTCTTTTCTTTTTCTTTCTTTTTAAAAAAATTTTAAAGTACTTTTTTTAATTTTTAAAAAAATTTAAAATTTTTAAAAAAAAATGTTAAATGCTTATTTATTTTTGAGGGAGAGAGAGAGAGCACGCAAGCAGGAGAGGGGCAGAGAGAGAGGGAGACACAGAATCCGAAGCAGGCTCCGGGCTCCGGGCTGTCAGCACAGAGCCCAACGCAGGGCTCGAACCCATGAACCCATGAGATCATGACCTGAGCCGAAGCTGGATGCCCCCGCGACTCTGCCACCCAGGTGCCCCTTAAATATTTATTTTGAGAGAGAGAGAGAGAGAGAGAGAGAGAGAGAGAGAGAGAGAGAGTGCACGTGAACACAAGTGGGGAAAGGGCAGAGAGAGAATCCCAAGCGGGCTCCATGCTCAGCATGGAGCGCAATGCAGGGATCAATCTCTTCAGTGTGAGATCATGACCTGAGCTGAAAATCAGGAGTCAGATGGTCCACTGACTGAGCCACCCAGGTGCGCCTCTTTTTTGTTGTTGTTAACAGCAAATATATTATATTAACAACAAGGGGGAAAACCTGTATGCTCTTTTTTTATGTTCTTGTCTGTCATCCTACAGCCTATGATGTAGAAAGTCCCCTCATTTCTCTGAGTAGAGGGACCAGCTGTGCAGGAGGAATTAACTGCCTTCCATCTCACCTGATGGCAGATGGTGCACGTGCTGACAGCTGTAACATGGCCGGAGACCGGACACGGTCCCAGTGCTCCCTACTGTCCAGCCTCCTGTACCACCCTCCCCGGGGCTGCCCAGAGACCCTTAGGCTGCTCCAAACCTTGACTGGCCTAGAGCGTTCTCCCCACCTGATGTAGTGTTTATTCAAAGTGAGACCCCGGCTCTGGAGTCACTCTCTCTGGGGAGCCTTCCCCAGGTCAAGTTCCTATCATATCCTTTCACGGTGCCTCATTTTTTTTCTTTCTGCATTCGTTTGTGTGGTTTTTACGTAATGCCTAATGCCTCCTCCCTTAAACAAGTAAGTGTGAGGTCCGTGAGGATTTCACCGAATCCCTAGTGCTAGCACACTGCCTGGACCCTTGAAGGGATGCAAATATTCCTTGTGTGTCTGGATTCCTTGTGTTAATGGCCACATAAGTAGAAACAACCTAAAATTTCCACACAGACGATATCCACGTGAGCAAATGGCGTTCAGCCTGAACAGCTTTTCAACAAAGTCAAGTTGTCGTCCTGCCATTCCTCTTCCCCCAAATCCTTCTCTCCTTCCCTCAGACTCCCTAAAAACAGCATTATCTGACTTAAAACGCATTGGCTCAGTCGGTTGAGCATCTGACTTCGGCTCAGGTCAAGATCTCCAGGTCCGTGAGTTCGAGCCCCACATCCAGCTCTGTGCTGACAGCGCGGAGCCCACTTCTTCTGATCCTCTGTCCTCCTTTCTCTCTGCCCCTCCCTTGTTTTTTTTCTCTCTCTCTCTCTCCCCTGCTCACCCTCTCTCTCTTAAAAAAAAGAAAAAAAAAAAGGAAGGTAATGCCAAAAAGAGGGTCTGGAGAGTGAAAGTACAAACAGAGGAAATGGAAGCAAGTCTCGTGAAAACCACAGCTCCCGTGTACTTGGCCCCCACCGTGGACAAGGTATGCTCCAAGTCCTTCCCGTATAAATCCATCCATGGCCCTGATGCGTCCATGCAGCGACCACAGTCCTTGTTTATTACTAAGATAGCTGAGGGAACTGAGTCACAAGGAGGGTAGGAACTTGCTAGGGCACACCCCCGGCGGGCGAAGAGTAACACCCATTACTGCACAACCAGATTCCCAAGAAAATAAATCAAGAGTTAGGGTTTTCCGACCTGACGCTGAGTCCTGGAGACTTGATTTTGCTGGCTGATAACTCTGAGCCAGCAGAGCTGGCTGTCGAGCGCGACCGTGTGCCATTGCTTCAAGCATCCGACCTCACCACAACCCTGTGGGGTGAGTTCTGGTACCATCGTTCTGTTTCACAGGTGGGAAGACAGGTATAGAGAGTTTAGGTCATTTGCCTAATGGTGAGACGCCCGTGCAGCCAACACGGATGTCAGGCAGCTGGGCCACAGAGCCCAGGTCTTCAGCCCTGAGCCCACAGCCTCCTATCCCCACACACAAACCTTCCAGTTTTACATCTTTTTTTTTCCTGATACAAGAAGCAGAAACCCTTTCCTAACAACGACCCATGTCTCTTTTATATTTCGTGTCAAAACTGTTTCCAGCAATCGCCCCCAGTAGCCAGGATTTTCTCAGTGGTTTTTTCCTTTCCCACCTTAATTATTTTTATTACAATTTTTGGTCCCTTGCCTCGCTTCTGGAATAGTCAACATTCACTGAGATTTCACAGTAACTGGAATATTTACACTAGGACATTATGACTAAGACAAAGCATGTTTTCCAGTTGTACGACCTTAAATTGGGGCTCATAGCATAATCAGAGGAAACCTGACTCCTGGGGGGGGGGGTGTGGGCACTATTCCTGCACCACTTAGCCCGGGATGTCCTGAAGTGATTCACACTTGCCCCTGTCTCCAGACCCTCCCCCCCATTGAGGTAGGTGACCCCTGTCCCCTTGGTGACCACTGCAAACTATTATCAACCACTCCTGTATTATCAACATCCAACTTCATGTGAAGGGCTGTGGTGAAATTCTGGAACTTGAATAGGAAGTTGCTTTTCTAAACAGCCTGACACAGAGGGGAGGCAGGGAGGCTATAAAGTCTGGGTTGGGCAGACAGCCTAGAGGAAGCCGAGGCGCAGAGGAGATGGTAAGTTCGTTTCTCTGTACTCTGGGAAGTGGACGAGATGCTGCGTGGAGGCTGAGTCAGGCGGGCAAAGGTTTAGAGAGTGCAGAAGAGCAGTGGTCGTGGCACTTTATGTTGAGTAGCCCTTTAGACTGTGAGCATCTGAAAACCTGCTGTCTGCTTTGACCCTCCCAACATCCTTGGGAGGTGAGGTTGCTATTTCCATGTTACAAATGAAGTCGCCGCACCTTGCGGAGATGAGGTGCTGCACCTACAGCCCCCCTATTAGGCTTGATGTGTCTGCATCTAGACTTCTGCCCTCTGGCTCTACGGCGCCTGTTTTTCCTACTAGAGCTTACAGAAACTCTCGCGGGCACAGATCTTGGTAAACCCTCGACCCCCTTCTCCAGGATCGGTCTTCTCTGTGGCTTGAGGGCAAGGCTGAGCAAATGCCCTGTGGCACACCTGTGGGTAAATGCTCTCTCATCCGGGCTCTCCTAGTTCCTTCTCTGAGCCCTAGGAGTCAGCTGGGACTCTCGCAGAGTAACCACATGGTTTCCATAGCTGCCTTAAGTCTCAGTGCTGTTAGTGACTCAGTTTCCTCATCTGTAAAATAGACATACTTACAGTGCTCTACTTTATTTTTTTTTTAAATTTTTTTAACGTTTTTATTTATTTTTGAGACAGAGAGAGACAGAGCATGAACAGGGGAGGGTCACAGAGAGAGGGAGACATAGAATCCGAAACAGGCTCCAGGCTCTGAGCTGTCAGCACAGAGCCCGACGCGGGGCTCGAACCCACTGACCTGAGCCGAAGTCGGACGCTTAACCGACCGAGCCACCCAGGCGCCCCTCTACTTTATTTTTTAAGTTTACTTATTTATTTTGTGTGTGAGAGAGAGAGTGTGTGCAGGGGAGGGAGGGAGAGAGAGAGAGAGAGAGAGAGAGAGAGAGAGAGAGAATCCCAAGAAGTTTCCGTGCTGTCAGCATGAGCCCATTGCTGGGCTCAAGTTCAGGAACAGTGAGATCATGACCTGAGCCGAAGTCAGGAGTCTGATGCTTAACCGACCAAGCCACCCAGGTGCCCCTATGGTGCTCTACTTTATGGTGTCATTTGGAAGATTAAGTAGGATTTGCTCTGAAAAGCGTGTAAATCTGAGGCTGGCACATGGTAACTGATTTGTCAATGTCAGCTATTATTGTTGTGAAAAAGAAAAAAATTCGTGGGGGTTTGGGATCCAGGGAAGATCCAAGGAAAACTAGGCATTCATGAACTTATCAACAGATAAGATACACACGGTTTTACCCCCAACTTGCCAGGAGTCTCTCCCACAGTCCCAAACCCTGCAGTCCGGAACATCTCTGTTGTTGGAACCAACGGAACATCTCTGCTGTTGAGCTCCTTTCTGCGGGATGCCAGAAGAGAGCAGCACTCACACATGATTTCAACCCCCTCTTTGCTTTACTATCGTTCACTTTTCAAATATTGGCAATGGGGATTTTCTGTGTTGGGGAGAAATAGAGATAAGAGGACTAGGGAGAGAGGGGAAAGGAATTTGAGTCTGTCCTGAGTTTGAACTCCAGTGACAAAAGAACGTGGATTGCCTTTGTCTCCTCTTTTGCATATCAGACATTCCCGGTATTGGTCAACTTACATGGACAAGGACTTAGTCATCTCTTCCTTCTATTCTCTCTGGGATCCTCCTCTATTTCGGAAGTGTATTAACACATTGGATTGTGGAATTCTTTGAGATTCTGGTGAAAGTACAACTCTCTGTCCCAGATGAAAGTGCAAACATCCACATAAACACCAAGCTTTCTGGGCAAGGACAGGGGGTTCCCCAACCCCCACATGGGTCTCAGGTTAGGAAACCCACCCTATCGCCTCCTTTGCTTTATGCTCAGAAGCTCCTCCACTGGCATCTTGAAACTAGGTTGGAATACTACTTGGCAATGAGAAAGAATGAAATATGGCCTTTGGTAGCAACGTGGATGGAACTGGAGAGTATTATGCTAAGTGAAATAAGTCAGGCAGAGAAAGACAGATACCATATGTTTTCACTCTTATGTGGATCCTGAGAAACTTAACAGAAGACCATGGGGGAGGGGAAGGAAAAGAAAAGTTGGAGAGGGAGGGAGCCAAACCATAAGAGACTCTTAAAGACTGGGAATAAACTGAGGGTTGATGGGGGGTGGGAGGGAGGGGAGGGTGGGTGATGGGTATGGAGGAGGGCACCTGTTGGGATGAGCACTGGGTGTTGTGTGGAAACCAGTTTGACAATAAATTTCATATTTTAAAAGAAAGAAAGAAAGAAAGAAAGAAAGAAAGAAAGAAAGAAAGAAAGAAAGAACTGGTAGATGACTTGAAAAAAAAAAGAAAAGAAACTAGGCTGGAAGTCTGCAATCCAGGCCTGATGGTTCCACCTCTAACACTGGTTTCATTATTCCAAAGACTAGACCTCTTCCTTCGCCCCTGAGCACATTTGGCCCCTGGGATTCCGGAACCTCAACCCTTTGTGTGTAAATTTGGCTTCAAGTTCAGAGTGGCTTCAGTTAACCTCTAGGACCTGAGGAAAGAGGTTAAGAGTTAGCTGGTGGGGTATTTTCCATCAGATGGATCTCAGGGACGAGAGCCTTTGATTGAGAATTTGCAGTTAAGTTGCACTGATGTTGGGAGAGATGTAGTGGGCTAAGAGCAGGTCTGGATTCTCTGCCATTTTACACCGTAACCATCTTAGGTCTGTGGCTTCTATTTCTTCCTTCCATTACCTGTTTTTCAAAATGTCACTACATGGTTCACACACTCCTGGGCTGACCACTGGCTCTTAGCATATGTAGCTTCAGAATTCTGTAAGCAGAGGCTTATTAATCAGATCCTCAGAAGTCAAAATGACCTACCACGTGATGGGCAACACTGAGAAAAAGACCCTGGACCTAACCCTAGAGAGTAGGCCGTGGTGGGTTCATGAATGGCATTTATTACATTGTCTGCTAGGTGTCTGGCTTCTCTAGCTGAAAAGCAAACAGAAATGTTACAAAGTCAAATACAAAAGGATTCTTTTATGTTTGTAGGGATGTAGCTCAGCCAGGTTCTGATGTACTTTCAAAAATTAGGTATGCTGCTTTATTTTTAATGCTAGTATATCAACCTAAACAATGGTGATCGGTAGTCTAATATAAACACGTGCTTTGATTCTTAGTGTTAATGTCCGGGGCTCCTTTCTGTCTTTATTTCTAACTTGCTGTTGTCTTGGAGACCTCTTTTTTCCACTGTGTTTCATGGTCTGCCTTTAAGCTGGGGCTACCAATATCCGTGCTATGCCACCACCACTCCCATCCAGAACCTGAGAGAAGTGTTGTGTCCATTGTAATGCCTTGTGAAACCTGGACTCTGCCACCAGCACCTTGCATAGTCCTGCCTCCCCAGCAACCCTCATATCTACCTCCCCACTTTGCATTCCCATTGACCCCAGCCCAAGCCCGTCCCCCATTTACTCCCACTGGGACTAGTACAGTAGTCTCCTCTCTCCACAGCTCAGCCTCTCTACCTCTGAGTCATCAAAGCCACCATGGTTACGTGCACCTGTTCAGAACACTGACGGTTGGATCCCTTCTGCTAACATTTATGTCAGATCCGCAAGATCGGGCCCCAACTCACCTTTCCATTTGACCTCTGGGACCTCCCAGTTCTTGACACCAAATGACCCCATCATTGCCTCTCTTAAAATTCACACCCCCCGGCCTCTGACTCCTCTTTGCACTTAGAACCAAATCTCACCCCCCAGCTTTAGTTCCCAAAGCCCGGAGTGATCTGTGACCAGCTTCGTGTCATGCCCTTCTTGCTCATTCCATTCCAGCCACACTGATGGCTTCATGTTCTTTGAACTCTCCACACACACCTGGCTGCCACCCAAAGCCTTCACATTCGCTTTTCCTTCTGTCTTCAATGCTCTTCCTCCTGCTTCTCCCTGGATGGCTTCTTCTGGCCATTCTGCTCTCAGTTTCAACATCATCTCCTTGGAGAAGTCTGCCCTGAACTCCCTGCCTAAGGTGACCACAAGTCCCTGTATCACATAGCCTCACCTTATTTCCCCCGACTTCTCGCTAGCTTCCAGTTTTCACGTTTACTTGTCATGAACTGCCATGTATTTATTGGTGCTTCATTATCTGTCTTTTTCAATAGATCATACATTCCGTAAGACAGGAATGATGTCTGTTTTTACCATTTTAATGCCAGTGCCTAGAAGAGCGCCTGACACATTGTAGGCACTTGGCAAATCAGTAGTTACTGAAATAGACAAGGGGCCAGGAAGTGCCTGTCTTGGTGACCGGTGGGGAAGGATCGATCGTAGAGAAGGCTCCTTTCAAGAGAAGATGTTTGGACTTATAGAGCCAGGCACACATAGAAGGAAAGAGTGCTCTGGGCAATAAGAAGAACATTGGGCACATACAGTGCCTTCTGGAAACTACGAGATGTTTCGTTACAAATGCATTGTAGAATTGGGGTTGGGGGGGGAGAGGCACAAATAAATTGAAAATTAATGGCAGGAGATGAGACTTGACAAATAGAGGCCACATTTTGAGGGGCCCTATATGTGTCATCTCGAGGAGTTTGTAGGTATTGCTCAAGGGGTAGGAACAGCCGATGGATTTTAGGTAGTGAAGTGATGCGGTCAGGTTTTTGTGTTAGAAATATCACTCTGACTTCATTATAGAGAAACAATAGAAGATGAGCAACTTGAGGATAAGAGACCAGTCAGATGATGTCCAGGAAGGAAAGGATGATGTGTGCACTAGCTCTGTAGCAGTAAGCGGAAATCCAGAGAACGACCAGGTATCAGGTCAGAAGGTAAAGCCAGTGGGATTTGATGACAGGTTCATGTGAAGGGTTTGGGCAAAGGAGAGAAATGTGCTTTCTCATCCCCAACATCTAAGAGCTGCTGCTATTTGATACCCTTCCCAGCTTTCCTGAAACACACGACCTATGTTAACAATCCTTGATTCCCGCACTTCTCCACATATCCCTCTATCGTACCCGCATGGCGTGAAGAGAGTGAGTCCTACTCATTTTTTCCCTCACGCGGGATGTGAACCATCATGCCCCTTGCTTCTCTCACACCCAAATAGAATGAGAAAAAGTGCCAAGGTCATTTTTTTGCACCGATTTCTTATGCTCTTCTGCCTAATAATATACTTTCAAATGTGATACAAATACTGCTGTAGCCCTTAAATACTTAGGTCTAATGATCACATATTTTCCAACATTTTCCTACTCTTATGTCCTACTCTTATGTATACCCTTCTGTCTTACTTTCAGTCATTTCTCTGCCATTGCTCTTTATTTGTTCATCCATTCATAAAATATTTATTAAGCAGTAAGCACCTGCTCTCTACTATAGCTGAGATTCAGACCTAAGGCAGAGCCCTTGCCCTTGAGAAGCCTCTGCCAGCATCCTCCTCCAGCTGGGCGATCATTTGTTTGCTTTGCACTTGGATTGCAGACATCACGCTCAAGAGGGAAGTCAGGGATGGAGATACAGTGTTGGGGCCGTTGGCAAAGAGATGACCAGAAGGTGACCTCAGGACAGCAGATGAGTGATAAGAGAATAGGGTCATGGAGGCCAGAACCCAGGGAAATGTCTATCTCTACAAGTGCCAGAAGAGGGTCGAAGTAGATTCAGAGGGAGACTCATCAAAATTGCTCAAGATGCAAGAGAAGAATCAAGAGAAGGAACCACGGAAGCATTTTAAACAAAAGGAACTACTCAGCAGTATTTATTGCTGCAGAAAGGTCAAGGAAAATAACAAGGGCACATGTTCACTGGGTTTGGTAATTAGGATTTCAGTGATAAAGGTAGCAAGGGCCATTTCACAGGCTGGAGTTTGGAGGAGGCCGGAGAGTAAAGGGAGGCAAAGAAGTTAAGGAAGCTGAACCAGAGGAAGGAGAGAAATCAGATAGCATCGGGGCAGAAGGCAAAGGGTCCAGGGAGGGACTTTGTCAGTTCTGCTCTAAAAGTGCAAAGCTGTGGTCTACAATGTAGACGGGAGAACAGAATCCCTTTCCGCGGTATCATCTCTCCCAACTTTGTGCGCCGCTCGCAATGCCGGCAGCTATGGGACTTCTGCTGGCATCCGGTACCCAAGCCAAGTGAGGGCAAGGGATAAACACTTTCTCCTTCCACTTTCTCCCTGCCCCTCTCTTCACCCCATACTTGTAGTTCTTAGAAAAGGTAAAATTAAAGACAATCGCGGTGTGAAGTGGCTTTAATGAAGGGTTACGCAGGCACAGGATGTTATTCTAATGACCCAGTCTCAGACGGCTTCTCGGTGACTTCCAGTTTGAAGTGGGCTGCCAGAGAACATTAAAGATTAGCAGAGCGCATGGCTATTTCTCCTAGAGTCATTTCCTCTTGTTTCAACACTAAACAGGCTTAATAACACTAGGACACGGCCCTTAACTTTCCAGGATCTTAGATCTGAAGACGACACTGTAGAACAGGGGCAGGTGTGGAAGGCCTGCCCACCCCAAGGAAGCCTCAGAGGAAAACGACCACTCAATGGCGTCTTCCATTCTCCACATACAACCCTTGTCAGTTTCCAGTGAGCCAAGGTGCTGCCTTACAGTTAACAGAGATTCGAACTTGCGGTCCATTAAACGTGGACAGACTTAGTGGATCTATGAGTCTTCTGAAACTGTCTAAAAACATTGCAACTGTGCTTTTTTTTTTTTTTTTTTTTTTTTTTTTTTTTTTTAAGAATCCTGACGATAGCTTTTATCTGGCTTTCAAAGGAGTTCAAAAGTCCTGCAAGGGTAATCACTATGCTAACCCAACATCCATCCAGGTGAGCAAGCTTAGGCAAATCATCTTTACTCACTGAAACTCATCTCAAGTATTCACAGTCCAAAAGATCTGCTGCAGAATGCTGGAGAAATGCTTAACTGACCTGGCATTAATCTTTATGGCCTCCTTCATCTCTCAAATAATCTGTGAAGAGTCATTCTTAATATTTAGTGATTTTTTTTAATGGAAAAATATGATCAGATTAAAGTAGGAGATGCGTAATGTATTTCCCTTTCTTACATGTTGTGGTTGATCAGAAGCACCTACCAAGTCCTCTAAAACCTTGAAATGTTTAAAACCATCTCTCTCTCTCTCTCTCTTTCTCTCAATTCTGTTTAAACCAAACCATATTTCAAAGTTTAAACAAAGAAGTTACGACATGAAACAGCTCTTTTAGGATAGTGGCCGGAGTTGGACGCTGATAGGGAAGCAGGAGCCTCCCCACACACTTCCTTGAGCTTGCCCCAAAGCCAGAGAAACCCCTAGAAACACTCTGCACAGGGAGAAAACCACTTCCAAAGGGCACAGGGAGAGCGCCATTAGGGTGAAAATACTATACTTCTTCTCTAGTCTACTGGAGGAGCCCAGCGCAAGGTCAAAGGTGAATATTGGGGTCCCCTTCATGCAGCCTACGCTATTGTGCTCTTTAGCAGCAATGCTTCTGTTCCTTGTGCCTCTGAGAGAATTCTGGAAAATTGTGTAACGCCTTACACCTGTCTAAGTGGAAAGCTAATATTTTTCATCATCAGTTTTAAAATTAACAAGCAATGGGATTTCCAACACATTGTAAAGATTAGCCTTTTACAATAAGTAAATGTCCCATCATGTCTTTTATTCCAGTGGAATTAAATACTGTAGTGATCTGATAGCCCTCATCACTTAAAAAATATATATAAGCGATCTCCTAATAATAGGAAATTTTATATTATTCATCTTCTCTCCTCCTCCTCTACAAAATTTTTACCTAATACAATACAACTTGAAGCTTGAAGTCTTTTCTTGATCACTAAATCTCACTTCTTTTACAAAAAAGGTAATAATAAATCCAAATTTAAAAGGTTCAACTTTTTGAAAGCATATGTGATTTTAGACTCACCAACGTTTAGTACTTTCATGTGCAGCATGAGGGAGTTGGCCAAGGTGAGCGTTCCCGGAACTTATTTGTCTCGAAACATTTAAAAAAATTTTTTTTCAACGTTTTTTTATTCATTTTTGGGACACAGAGAGACAGAGCATGAACTGGGGAGGGGCAGAGAGAGAGGGAGACACAGAATCGGAAACAGGCTCCAGGCTCCGAGCCATCAGCCCAGAGCCCGACACGGGGCTCGAACTCACGAACCGTGAGATCGTGACCTGGCTGAAGTCGGACGCTGAACCGACTGCGCCACCCAGGCGCCCCTCGAAACATTTTTAAAATGTTAACAGATTTCATGAAGTCCCCACAGAAGGGAGCCCATTAAATATAGTACTTGCTATTGATCCAAAGGGAATAGTATTATTATACATATTAATAAATATTAAATATATAGGTACCGTGCATATGTATTAAATATTGAACAGTACTGTGGACATAGGCCGCCATTGTAAAGCAAGGAGACAAGACATAGGTCAATAATACAGAGCAGACGGCATAGCCCAGCACCATTTGTCGATGCCCTGTGCATCAAAGTATAGGTCAGACGTATCTGTGCAGATCGGGGAGTTTGTGTGCAACTTCCTATTATTTTGGGGTATGGCATAGTGGTTCTTAAAGGGAGATTATTGCATAATAATAATGACAATACTCTTCTTACATGAAAATTATGAAATGTTTCGTAAATGAAAAATCTTAGTTGCACAAAGTAGTTACTTGATAAATACTTATCGAATGAGAGAAGAAACAACTTCTGTCCTCAGCCTGGGTGCAGAGCAGGGCTCGGAGCAGAGCAGGGAGAAACGAGAAGGAAGCAGAGCACTTGAACCTCCACCCTGCTGGAAACAAGGAGGATTAGAACTCAATACAATGATTACTAACAGGGATTTGGGGGGCCACATTGATTTCACATGGGTACTAAAAGGAAGTTTTCCTTTCCTGTTTCAGGCCAGCTGCCTAAAAGCCATCTGGAACTGGAGATTTCAGACGGTGATCTTCAGAACTGCCCAACTCCTTTGCTTCAGTGCCCTAATCTTTGGTAAACTTGGTGTTAACCTTTCGTCTAGGCTGAGTAATGAGGGGAAGTTAAGGATGCTAGCCAGTTGTTACAAGGAATGGGAAAACTGTTCCCGCCCAGACGCCTTGAAGAAAAATGCACCCAACACCATCATATTGGTGGAAAGGCTCTGGGACAAACCGAAATGGACATATCCAGGACCAATTAGCCACTGGGCACAGCAGGCCCTGGCCCACAGTGCTGTCAGGGACCCACAAAAACGTCTTAGTATACCGTACTGATATGTATGTCTTTCTACTAATGCAATTATAAAATATAGGTTTTAGCATTTTATTACGGAGGAAGGAGCTTATAAAAGAAAAGCTGCCCAGAGTCCACGAAAGTCAATATCGCAGCCCTGGTGATGCCAAAATAAAGTCTTAGGGCAAAACAATGCAGTGGAGGTGTCAGTGGGGGAGGGACAAACATAAATGACCCTCGTGCGGGCAGCAGAGGACAGGGTTGAATAGGAACAAGACTCTATAAACAGGAAAAAGAGGCACTTCCAGGCCTGATTGCTTACATTGTACACCTCTTCGTGTGGGATCTGGCCTCTTCTGGCCCGGGTGAGCTCCCACTGGCCACGATAACAACAGCTTTCATCAGAGTCCCCCTTACACTTTCAGAGGGCACAAACTTTATTGCTACTTGCTGCCACAGGCATTGATTCAAACGGCTTGTTCTAAGCCCCATTTTGCCACGTGAGTGAGCAGAGATGGAGGGCGTAGCATAACTTATCAAAGACGAACAGTCAAGAGCAGTGGAATTGAGCGTAGGATCGCAGGCCAGGAGATCTGGTTTGCGACCTGCCTCTGCCACAAACACGTTGCGCTTCACTCAACAAGTATTTACTGAACACCTGTTAAGCACCACGCTCTGTGCTTGGTGTCAAGGACCCAGAGATAAAATTCACAATCTGGCCGGCGTGGACCGTGTCATATGAAGAGCCGTTCCAACGCCCAGAGGGTGATAACGGGAAGTGGAGGCAGAGACGTGCCTACCCGGGGAAGTCAAGGAAAGCAGGGGGAGGAAAGGTTTACCAGGCATAAGTGGGGAGGGCAGCCAGACTAGCAGGGAGCATATGCAAAGCACAGAAGTGGGAGTTCTGTTTTGCTAAGAAGGTAAATATGGCGGGTGATGAGGCTGGCCCAGCAGGTAGGCTCCGGATCATAAAGCATCTTATTTTCCACGTGAAGAGGTTGAACCTGTAGATATGAGGCAGCCACCAAGACATTCTGTGTGTCCTTTAAACAGGACAAATTACTTACTATGTCTCTTCCGTTTACCAAAGGAGACTAGATGCCTCATAAGGTCCCTTCCAACCCTGTTCTCTTATGATTCCAAATCTTTTAGCACCAAGCGTCCTCAGAACAGTACATTTTCTTATTTTGACTTCACATATATATGTGTTTGGGTGAAAGATGGAAACCACTCTTCCTTCTTAAGACGACTAGATTAGACACAACATAGTCATATTTTAGCTCTTTGTCTTCCAGTCAGAAACCCATCTGACTTACACAGAAGCGTATTTATGCTCACGGACTCCCGGTGAAGGAAGCTAACCTGGCACTCGCTCTCCTTTACTCAGGATTAATAAAGCAGAAAGAAGTGGCAGCGTGGACCTATAATTACAGCACCAAAGCATATTCATGGAATTATTCCAGGATGTTCTGCCAGAAGCATTACACGGATTTAGTGGCCATCCAGAATAAAAAAGAGATCGCTTACCTCAACGATGTCGTGCCTTACTTCAACTCTTACTACTGGATTGGGATCCGAAGGATCGATGATAAATGGACCTGGGTGGGAACCAAAAAGGTCCTCACCAAAGAGGCCGAGAACTGGGCTGACAACGAGCCCAACAACAAGAAGAACAACCAGGACTGTGTGGAGATCTACATCAAGAGCGTGTCGGCCCCTGGCAAGTGGAATGATGAGCCCTGCTGGAAAAAGAAGCGGGCACTATGCTACACAGGTAGGAGCTTCTGTACTCTGAAGTTTATCTGTTTCAAAAAAAAAAATGCCTTCCCTAATAGAGCCACTGAGGTAATAGAGCCACTGGTTCACTAATAGAGCCACTGAGTCAATAACATCGAGTCACAAAGTCAGGTATGTGAAAAAAAGAATAAATGACGGTTGGAGTGCTTGGGTGGCTCAGTAGGTTAAGCGTCCTGATTTCTGCTCAGGTCATGATCTCATGGTTCATGAGTTTGAGCCCTGCATCGGGCTCTACATTGACAGCGGGGAGCCTACTTGGGATTCTCTCCCTCTGCTTCTCTCTCGCTCTCTCTCTCTTTCTCAAAATAAATAGATAAACTTAAAAAAAATTAAAGTAATTAAAAGAAAAAACTACAAGCATGCAGCATTAAGGAGCACCTTGAAGAATATAAGATCAGGAGTAGAGAAACCTGGGTTTTTCTGAAACTAGAAGGACATTTTACAATCATCGGATCCACCTTCCTCAGTGTATAACTGATTAAATAGATGCTCAGGAGTTTCTAGTCCCCTAAAATTTATATCCAGAGCTTTTCGGCACCACGGCGCCCTCATATAATGGGCAGTATATGTTGGAAGATAACTTGGCCCCTAGGAGACACAGCTATAACTGATAGCTATTGTACATCACTACGTTATTGTGATGTTATTAGTTCATGGGTCATAAGCCTGTTTCGTATTAGTTTCATTTAGTCCTCGTGAGAACTTCATCAGTCAGGTCCTCTCATTTCATTGATGAGAGGAAAGTCCAGGCTATGAAGGAATCTGCTTACAGATTCCCTTCGACGGCAGCATGCATTCAGGTGTGCTGGTAGGGACCAGTGGCACGAGGGAAGGGAACTGACAGTGAAGAGACCCTGTAAGTATGTTTGCTTCTCGACAGAGTGACCGGTTCCTGAGTAGGCAGACATGCGTGGAAGCGTGGTCCTCCTGGGGTCACGCGCCTATGCTGGAACTGGTTGCATCTCTCTGATGTGGCTTCTCCCACCCCCTGTAGCACATGAGATCATTCTGAGATCCATAGGAAGCTACGATCAGAACAAACCATGTGTGCTCCAAGAACATAGGGCACGGGTATCACGGCTGTAAGACATTGGTGGGGTCAAGGTGAATACGATGGAAGATGTGGACCAGACCTCTATCGCCTCCTGCATCTTCCCTTTACTCGGACCCTTCCCAGGCCCCCCGTGCAGCCCCACCAAACTTGCCGGCTGCCTCGGGTATGCCCTCCTGTAGAACCGGCCCGACCTCTAAAATTCGAGCCTCTCAGAGTTGAGAGGGAATGTAGGTAGACATCATCTAGCACAAGCCTGAATGTGACATATGACTTCCCTCTTGTAATCAACCCTAAAGTGGCCCAATGTGTGCAGAGGAAACACCACCAGAAAATATAGCCACAGGCCTTGCCCCCAGCTGTGACCTCATCAGCGACAACATTCTCAGAACCCTCCATCGGGTGCATGATGCACACGCCCACAAAGAGTCTCTCGTAGGAAAGGAACCTCAGCCCTTCTCCACTGGGACTCACTGAGAAGGGTGTGGCTAGTCAGTCGCACTCTGCACTACCTAAGCCTGGCATATTTAGGCCCGTGAAACATCTCTCCATGGGATTGTTTGTCCTGTACCACGAGGAGGTCTTAAGCGTCTCATGTGGTTCCCCTGCCCCTCCACTGTGCGGCGCTGGGCACAGATTTGAAATCAACAAACAGTGGAAGGCTTTGGCCCTAACCCGGGGCAGGCTGGCCTCAGAGAAGTCACTTGCCTGAGATCCTGTAATAGTAGGCAGCAGAGCCAGGACTCTGATGACATATGTGTGTGACCCACCCCCCCCCCCCCCCCCCCGCCCCGCCACATCTGATGCCCAGCCTTTATGTTGTAATGCCCATCATAGGGGTTTCCGTAATAATACAACTCTATGCATATTCTTGGTTAAAAAGCCACAATCTATTTTGTACCACATAGAGGAGTTTCTCTGTCTACACATCGATCAGTGGCTCTTTGTCTCTCTGGGCTACACAAAGCAATCCCTCCTTAGACAACAGCTTAAAATGGAAGCTATGCAATGCTCTGGTAGGCTCCCACAATGCCCTTTGCAGGGAACAGGCTGGCGCTCCAGAGGACACTGTAGTTTTGTGTTGCTTGGCTAGCTCAGTCTTATACCAAGAGGGGCTGGGTCTGTGGCTTGGAAAGGAATCTAACTTCTCTTCACACCTCCCGGGAATGCGTACCATGCTGACCCTTTTGCATCCGTGCAGCGTCCTGCCAGGACATGTCCTGTAGCAAGCAAGGAGAGTGCATTGAGACCATCGGGAACTACACCTGCTCCTGCTTCCCCGGATTCTATGGACCAGAATGTGAATATGGTGAGGGCGCGATTTTGTTGATATTATTGTGGCCTTTGGTCTTGTGCCGGAGGTGGTCCAGGAAGCAAATCACGTTGGAGACTCTCCAGGGGGTAAAGCTCATCCTGGTCCTCTCTGGGGTCAGTCGGTCAGCCCCACTCAAATTGTCCCAAGACACACCCTCTGGGTGAAACCTTTTATCCGTAGACCATTGGTTCAAAAAAACCTACACGGTAAAAGGGAGGCAAAACAAAGGCTGATTTTGCTTGCCTGAAATAAAAACCACTGAAAGACTGATTATATCCCAAGATGTAGCCAATACAAAGGAACCAAGTAAAGATGACCAGGTTGGGTTAGACTAGGCCCAGAAAGACAGGATTAAGAGGGTCATACAAATAGTTCCAACGTCCAGCAAACCTGACGTTGTCTTTAAACCTGCAATGAAAAGAAAATTAATGTTTTGTCCCCACAGTCCAAGAGTGTGGGGAATTTGGTCTCCCCCAACATGTGCTCATGAACTGCAGCCACCCTCTCGGGAACTTCTCCTTCAATTCAGAGTGCAGCTTCCACTGCGCTGAAGGGTACGAATTGAATGGACCCAGCAAGCTGGAATGTTTGGCTTCCGGAACGTGGACAAATAACCCACCGCAATGTATAGGTATGTGGACCCTACTCTTTCCGTCCTCGATGACGACTAGAAAATAAGGGGAAAATAAGCTTTCTCCATTAAAAAACACGAGCGATTGGGGCGCCTGGGTGGCTCAGTTGGTTGAGTGTCCAACTTCAGCTCAGGTCATGATCTCATGGTTCATGGGTTCGAGCTCTATGTCCGGCTCTGTGCTGACAGCTCAGAGCCTGGAGCCTGCTTCGGATTCTGTGTCTCCCTCTCTCTCTGCACCTCATGCTGTCTCTCTCTCTCTCCCTCTCAAGAAAAAAAAAAAAAAAAACCTTAGAAAAATGTGAGAAATGATGAGCATCTACATTCGATGGGGAATTCTGATTTTTACTACTACCCATCAATGAGAGTGACACTGATTTTGATTTTCATGTTTTGCATCTATAGAGTGAGGTGATCACCTTAACTCTTGATTCTCAGGCAAAAGCATCACAAAGGGACCTCTCTCCCTTTGCTAACTGCAAAGTGAACAGTATAATAATGAGGACTTAGGGGTTGAGTCTTATTAATTTGATACTTTGACCTTGCTTCTTTAAATGCAAAATGGGGATGTTTGGATCTCTCCAAATGGCTCCTGAAAGTACCATTGAACCAACCAGGTGTTTCACCTTGCCCGTCACTTACAGAAGGTGCAGACGGCTGCTGGGGCATCCTAAGGTTTCACAGGTGCTGGGCATAACCCAAGGGCTCACACCTTTGCTCTGTGGTTGTTTGTAGCTGCCCAGTGCCCACCCCTGAAGACTCCTGAGCGAGGAAGCATGATGTGTCTTCCCTCTCCAGAAGCGCCCCGATACCGGTCCAGCTGCCACTTTGCTTGTGAAGAGGGATTTGCATTAGTTGGGCCGGAGGTGGTGCAGTGCACAGCCTCGGGGGTGTGGACAGCCTCACCCCCAGGGTGTGCAGGGGAGTTTCTGGTGGTTGGGGATATGCGATGTCTACTGTGCCAGTCCTTGCTGTGAGTACGGAGGACGGTGGGGGTCTATGGATAAGCTGGCCTGAATCACCACAACTTGACCTTCCTTTCCACCTGCCACTTAGTACATCAGGACGGGAAAAGAGGGCCAGGCTCCAGAAAAATCAAGAGGCTGATCTGACTACAAACAACTTTAAAAAGTCCTCCCTTGGCCCAAACTCAGAGCTCTCAAGCAGTTTTCAGAATGGCTACATTCATAAATTTCACGCAAGAGGGAAAGGATGGCATCTACATCCTTCCAGTGTCTTCTAGATACTAGAAGACCTACCACAACAGGTTTATAGAGATAAAGGAATAGAGGACATTATAAAAACCTTGGAGGAGTCTTTTTTTTTCCCTAAGATTAAGGTCACCCTGTGGATGGATTGTCCAAGTCTGGACAAATCATCATTAGGGTCTCCTGACCCTTACAGATTCCTAGCTCTACCTGGATTTCCTGGAAGTTATATCATTACTTTCCAGCTGTGGGTCTGGGTTTTCTCCTTCCTTAGTATCTTTGTCTCTGTCCTTGGTTGTTCTCTCTAGTTGTGCGGTGTCCACTCCTGGAAGCCCCTGGCAAAGGAACCATGGACTGTGTTCATCCCCTCACTGCCTTTGCATATGGCTCCAGCTGCAGATTTGAGTGTGAACCTGGCTATCAAGTGAGAGGCTGGGCCAATCTCCGCTGCATTGGCTCTGGCCAGTGGACCGCACCCTTGCCAGCCTGTGAGGGTAGGATTTTCCTTTAGTAGCCCTCTTCCACCCAGAAAGGGGCCATGGCGCAGTGGAAAGGCTCAGGGTAGCCTCCTTCAGGTTCTGACATTGGAACAGGTTGTTCAGCCTCCAGGAGGCATGGTTTTCTCATCCATGAAATGAGCTAAGGTGCTTTTGTGAGAATGAAGTATATAAAAAGCACACAGTTAAACAGCACGTAGAAAGTAGCTAGTGTTAGACTGGGCATTCAATCAACCTTCATTTCTGCCTCGTTTTTTCCCTTTCTGCCTCACTGGCAATACAAGCTGTGGGACAATGTCCTCTACTTGAGAGGAAGCCAGAATGGTGGCTATTAGGACAAAGAGGGGGATTCCCCATTAGCGTTTGGAGGTGACTTTGACAAAGGAGCGAGGTGCGCTGCGTCCACAGGGGCTGTGATGCAACCCTAGACGGTTACACAACAGCACAAAGCTGAATTCTGTGCAGTTGCCTCCTGCCCTCAGCTTCTGAGGCAAAAAGGGTGAATAGGGGAGCAGGAAATTGAAGATTGGATTAGTGAGTGCCCAGGAGATGGAGATCACAAGCCCAACTCTGCTACCGTCCGGATATAAGACGTCAGGGAAGTAACTCATTCCTGAACCTTCCTTTTCTCATCTGTAAAGAGAGAAGCTCTGGAGGATATTTGGTTCTTTGATGCTCCGATTCTGTAACAACCAGAGGTCTAAGCCCAGGGTGTGATGGTGGTCTTCACACTCTGAAAAAAACCCAGGAATAGCCTGGAAATGAAATGCTTTATCAAGGAAGCACATGAGGAAACTGGTCTGTATCAGAGCTAAGGCCACTCAGGGCTCAGTTCTGTGCAGGAACTGTCCTTGGCCTGCACTCGCTTGGCAATTGAAGTCTGATGACGCTGACATCCTGTGTTTCAGAGATATGGCCCACTCAGGACCATTTTATAAACCTAGCTAATAGGATGTCAACAATAAGCCATGTTATTTCAGCTTTTTCCTTAAACGTCCAGCCTGTTATATATCTCCTCCTGCCTGATCCAGTTCTGCAAATATCATCAGTAAATATTTGAAGAGTACCTTCGAGGTACCAAACATGGCCGGGCTGTGGGACGCAACTAGGAACGGCTAAGCCCAGCCTCAGGGAGACTGTGGTCCAAGGGCAGGACCACAGCAGTCTCCGCACAGTGCAGGGGCTGTGGGGAGCACACTAGGGAAGTCCCTACCCCTGAGCTGCTGGGAGGGCGGCAGTCAGGGAAGGCTTCCTAGGGACAGTGAAGTCTAAGCTGAGATCAAAAGGCAGGTGAGTGACCCAGGCAAAGAGGGCACGGGAAGGTGTTCCAGGCAGTTTCCCTTTTGCAAAAGGGAGGATTCAGGGTTCTGAACGTACTGATAATATGGGTAGGAAGACGCATCTCTTGAGTGGCTCTTGTGAGAGAGAACTGAGCCCTTCCATGACCCAGTTTCAGACGACAACTTTTTCCATTTAGCCATTGCCTGTGAGCCACTGGAGAGTCCGGTTCATGGAAGCACGGATTGCTCCCCACTCTCAGGACCGCTGCCATACAACACCAGCTGTAGCTTCCGTTGTGCTGATGGCTTCAGGCTGAAAGGAGCTGACATGGCCCAGTGTACTGACTTGGGACGGTGGACAGCGCCCGCCCCGGTCTGTGAAGGTAATGTGACATCGGCACGTTCCTTCTGTGTCTCTCAGCTTATTATGCAGTTAGCAGTCATTGATTTATTCCTCAGACGTTCACTAAGAACGACCCGGCCCTTTGTGCTGGCCCCAGGGACGAAATGGTGAGCAAAACACCCGTTCGTTACAGCATGTTGGAACTCAAGGTGAAGGTTTCACCGATTGAAACCCGCTGAGTGGGTTGGCATGAAGAAGATGGGACTGGGAGGAAGGAATGATGCGTGAGGAACAGCGTAGAAGAGTAAGGGGCAGGGCATTTAGTCTAGTTCTGTCGTTCCCTGGCAACAAGGTTTTGGTCTCTCAGAAGTTCAGCGTCTTCTGTAGAGCGGGAGGATTATTATCTGCCTCACCTACGTGCCTCATTACTGTTGTGAATGAATGTGGGTAAAAAGCAAGCTTGAAATTGCTATGAGTTGAGGGTGCCTCGGTGGCTCAGTTGGTTAAGCATCCAATTCTTGGTTTTGGCTCAGGTCACGATCTCACGGTTCGCGAGTTCGAGCCCTGTGTGGGGCTCTGTGCTGACAGCGCGGAGCCTGCTTGGGATTCTCTTTCTCCCTTTCTCTCCGGCACGACCCAGCTCATGCGCTCTCTCTCTCTCTCCCTCTCTCTCTCAAAATAAATAAATTCACTTTAAAAACTCCTATGAGTTTTACAAACGTATGCAAAATGATAATAATGTTACCTTATAAATTATATGTCTGTGATCTGATTTTACAAAGTGACCTTCTTTCAGTAGTTCATGTTTTCAATATTTTGCTCTTATAGGAGAACAAAGACACAGGGAAGTCATTAGGATATTATTTTTACGAGGGGTACCCCACACAGAAGTCAGGTCCCAGAAGTGCAATGTTGGCATTTCATGTTGCCATTTACTGGGATCTTTGGGCAATTGATGTGAATCCCCTGCATCTGTGCTGACAGCACAGAGCCCGACGTGGGGCTCGAACTCACAAACTGCAAGGTCATGACCTGAGGTGAGGTCAGATGCTTAACCGACTAGGCCACCAGGTGCCCCCGTGGATTGATTTTTTGCTATTCATTTTGATTACATACTTAGCATAGACCCGTGGGTCCAAAAGTATGAGGTTTAAAAAATTATTCCTGCATATTGCCAAAATGCTTACGATGCCTCAGAATTTTCTTCATAAAATCCTTCAAGTGCCATTGTGCCATTTCTCACCCTCCGGTTTAAACATGCCCCGTTCAGAAATCCCTGTTCTTATAAGGGAAGGGAAACAAAAGTCATATAAAAACAGGGAAGGGGACAAAACAGAAGAGACTCAGAAATAGGGAGAACAAAGTGAAGGTTACTGGAGGGGTTGTGGGAGGGGGGGATGGGCTAAATGGGCCAGGGGCACTAAGGAATCTCCTCCCGAAATCATTGTTGTACTCTATCCTAACTAATTTGGATGTAAGTTTTAAAAAATCAATTTTTTTTAAATTAAAAAAATTTTAAATTAAATTCATTTTAAATTAAATTAAATTCATAAATTAATTTTAATTTAACTAAAATTAAAAAAAAAAGAAATCCCTGCTCTTGGCGCTAGACGGGATTAAGGGGTCAAAATGAACGAGAGCTTGTGTGAGCCCCTCTCCTCACTCCCTTACTTCCTCACCTCTCAGCGCTGCGGTGTCAGGATCTTCCGGCTCCAGACCAGGCCCAGGTGAATTGCTCCCACCCGTTTGGAGCCTTTCGGTACCAATCCACCTGCAGCTTCTCCTGTGACGAGGGCTTACTCCTGGTGGGAGCAGGCGAGCTGCGGTGCTTGGGTACGGGGACCTGGAGTGCTCCTCCCCCACAATGCCAGGGTAAGCTGAGTTCTCTCCAGCGTCTGGGAAATCCAGGGTAGGCTGCATTTTAAAAGGCTATATTTTCGCGGCGGTGACCGTCTAGGGGCCAGAAGCTTGAAATGGACCGGAAAATTAAGAAACACTTTTCGTCTTGTGACCCAGTGATCCCAAATGCGGGGCCAGGCAGGTGACACCAGTGGCAGGGTATCTGGTAATCAGAGCTAGGGAATTACCCCTGTGCACTCCTTACCAGGACGTTTACTAGGACCTGGAAGCCTCTATCAGGAACCAGGTAGACTGTTCTCACGTGGCTGAAGACAGTGCCTAGAAAGGCCAGAAGGAAAAAAAAAATAGCTTCAGGATGGCTGTATCAAGGCTGACCCAGCACTCTGCTCCTGGGAACCATGGAGTATGACCTCTGGGTATAACAGTGCAGTAGGAGAGGCAGGATCTACAGGTGCTGCAGATATCCTCCAAGATCTGCATAGGAATGGAGAAATAGACTCAGGGTAAAGTGAAGAGTGATGTAGAAGGAAGCAATTAATCTATAAATGCAAGATTACAGGATCCTCAGTAGAGAAAACATGCATATTCAGCCTCAGCATGTATATCCACATTGTATGGAGCTGAAAAGAAAGCCAGGGTAGTCTGCCAATATTTTAAGAACCAGAACTTTCTCTGGTCATTTGTGTTTGCCAACTGAAGAACAGATAGAGGCTTTTCATACCCCTCGTGCCTTTTTCCACTCAGTGCATCCAGTTTTTCAGGCTTATGGCAATTGCTTTTACGAAGCAGGGTTTTCATTTATAAAAGCTACGGGAAAGTGAGAAATAAAGAAACACACACAAAACAATCGTCTTAAATACTCCCAGCCTGAGATAGGCATGGCTGGCATTCTTGTATGACTTCTTCCAAAATTTTCCCCACTCATTTTTCCCTCTATGCGATTAGTATTTTCGTGATGCAGATTCAATTTTAATAATAAAGTCAAATAGGGATGATACTAGATAATTCTGCATTGTTTGCCTTTGTCTGTCACTTTGCACAGGCTTTCAACATCTGAGTGAAAGCAGGCAGACACGTGTTTTTAATGAAGAAGAAACCACTTGCTGTTCAGGTCACACTCAAGTGCACACACAGACACACACACACACCACAGCTAAGTTAGGACAACAGTGAATGAATGAATGAATGAATGAACTCAGCAGAGTTGGATGTCCTGCACTTCTAGGCATCAGAGAGCAGGCAAGCCACTGGTGCTGGGGTTGAATATACCTTCCAGCAGGGTCTGGAAAGACCAGAGCAAGGCTTGTGATTTCGCCTTCTCGGCTTTAATCCTGGCTACATTGCAGCCTGGATATATTCCAAAGTCCATGGAACTTTGGGGAAGAACTTGGAGTCCCCTAAGAGGGTTATCACAGGGATTAGAATTCTTCCATAGAATTCTATCACAGTAATCGGAATTACAGTTCGTTGCCTCACATTGTCCTGCCTGTGTTTCACAGCAACGAGGTTGACACTCACCACAGCTTCCTGTGACCTCCCAGTTCCCTTCTGCTTTTAGTTCTTTGTTTACTCCGACTGAACTTTCTCCTATTATTGCCGGGTGAGATCAAGTGAAATACCTGAATGTGGGCTGGGCAGGAAGGCACCACGAGGCTTGCAATCCACTGGCTGATGTAAGACTTATGAGAGAGTGTTATCAGACAGTTTCCCTTTTCAGTGTCCCCTTTGCCCTGTTGCCTCCTGACATGCACCCCAGCTATCAGCAGGCACGGCCACAAAAGCTAGACACGGACTCCAGGTCATCGAGACCCTCCTTTGTGTCCTTACAGTCTTCTTGTCTCCTCTCCTCTCTACCACCCCACACACATACACACTGAACACAGAAAGACGTTTCAGGTGGCAGAAAATGCCTAGATCTTTGGGAAAGTCGATCAGGCCGAGGAGAATGTACCTGGAGAGAGGAAGAGGTGAAGGGAAGAGAAAGGTATAAAAACTGCGCTTGGAACCTCAGGCAGTTCAAAGTCAGCGGCTGGAGAATGGCCCCAGGTTCAGCCCTGCCGTCACTGACTATGGTTCTGTCAAAGCAAACAGTGAAGAAGAAACACCCTAAACCATACGTTTTCTCAGTCTTCATTTTTATTTTTTTTTATTATTTTTTTTCAACGTTTGTTTATTTTTGGGACAGAGAGAGACAGAGCATGAACGGGCGAGGGGCAGAGAGAGGGAGACACAGAATCGGAAACAGGCTCCAGGCTCCGAGCCATCAGCCCAGAGCCCGACGCGGGGCTCGAACTCACGGACCGTGAGATCGTGACCTGGTTGAAGTCGGACGCTCAACCGACTGCGCCACCCAGGCGCCCCTCAGTCTTCATTTTTAAATGTCACCACGTTGAATCTGGACTTTATAGTTTCATTAGTTGGCAACTATTAACATTTACATACAGAGTGTTTTTGCTTTTGTAAAAATTTTGGAAGGTATGCAATGCTATTCTCCACATTTTCTTTTTTGAATTATTTAATTTAATTTCATTTTATTTCATTTTATTTTATTTTATTTTATTTTATTTTATTTGGGGGGGGGGGCAGACAGAGAATCCCAAGGAGGCTCCGCTTAGCACAGAGCCGCACACAGGGCTCAATCCCATAACTGCGAGATCACGACCTGAGCTGATATCAAGAGTTGGATGCTCAACCGACTGAGCCACCCAGGTGCCCCTATTCTCCACATTTTTAAAGTGAAGAGATTGAGGCTCAGAGAGGTTAAGTGACTTGCCTAAAGTCACAGAGCATGATCTCCAACCCAAGCAAATGCCCTGGAGCCTCAAACTCCATATGCATAAACTACGGTAAAGAGCCATGAGATCTAATTTACCTTTCTTTGTAGGTGAACATGTACAGTCACTGGGGCTGGTCCCTGTAGGATGACATTGGTGGAAAGAGCTTTTGCAGATGGCCAGTTACGTTATGTGCCTACCGCATGTCAATGACTTAAAAAATATTTTCAAACTTAATTTTTACATATGATTTAACTAGCTTATTATTTTAATAATAAGCTAAAGGGCTGAGGAGCCCTGCAAGGCAAGGAGTATTATGTTTCCCATTTCATAGATGAAGCAACTGAGGTTCAGAAAAGTCTAGAGACACATTGCTAATAAGTAACAGAGCCAGGGTTTAGACCCGGATTCTTTATACTCCTTGGTTGGGGAAAGTAGATTTTGTGGGAGGAGAAAGTATTTTACTTTGTTTTCCTACTTCCGGTCATTTGTCATTGTTTTCTGGCAAGGTCACTAGGTCCCTTTCTGAAGATGTCAAGGAAGCAGCCACTTCCACTCCTGTGCGGGGACAACTGAAATGAGCTGTGTCACTATCTTCCCAAAGCACCAGTTCCTTTTCAAATGACCTTGAGGGACTCCTGGGTGGCTCAGTCAGTTCAGCATCTGACTTTGGCTCAGGTCATGATCTCACAGTTCATGAGTTCAAGCCCGATGAGAGGACATCCGGCTCTGTGCTGACAGCTCAGAGCCTGGAGCCTACTTCTTCAGATCCTGTCTCCCTCTCTCTCTGCTCCTCTCCCACTCACGCTTGGTCTCTCTCTCAAAAATAAATAACATTAAAAACAACAACAGCTTTAAAATGACCTCTAAAGCTCCCTGTGGGTGAAGGTTCCAGAATGACAATCAACTGTCAGTCGCTATTTTATACAACCACGACCTCTACCTGGTGCCACGACCTCTACCTGGTGATAAAGCGGCATGAAATTCAAACGATTATTTCTAACCAAATGCTGCCCCTGTGGATTCAGCACGCACATGCACACACACACACACACACACACACACACACACACACACACATGCGTGTACACGCTGATGTCAGGTTGCCGTGTTCTAAAATGATCCTTCTCTCCTGTACCATGCTCTGGGTAGCCTTTACCTGCACACCTCTGCTAAGCCCTCGGAATGGAACAATGACCTGTGTCCAGCCTCTTGGAGATTCCAGTTATAAGTCCAGATGCCAATTCACCTGTGATGAAGGATTCTCTTTATCTGGACCAGAAATACTGGATTGTGCTCCATCTGGACATTGGACAGGTCCCCCACCAACATGTGAAGGTAGGATCATGGGTCTGTCCTTTCTTACGGCTTCTCGGATAATATTATAGAATGAAGAATCACCATGGATTCATGTAAAACTGTTCTTAAGCTAAAGGAAACACACTCTCCACAGAGCATTGGTAATCTCTCTCTCTCTTTGAATATTTTTCTAACTTAAAACATTGCACAGTTTTATAAAGCATTTTAATTGTCATCATGACACTTGATGTTTACCACCGTTCTGAAATATAACGAGGAAAGGCAGTATCCTCTCCATTTTCCGGAGGAGAAGCAGAGGCTCAGAGAGGTTAAGTAACTCGCTGAAAGTCACAGGTTCACAAGTGATGAAGTTCAGCTATGTCCCTGGGACTTTTACTTCCTTATCAAGTCTTTTTCTGCGGACTTAATTTATTCCTCCATGCACCATCCGTGAGCACTGCTAACGCCTAGGCACCGAGCTTATGCAAGGATGCGGATGATTTCATCCTGGCCCCTTGAGGATCTCAGTCTACTCGCGTGCCTCTCTCCTGGCTCTGCCTCCATGTGGATTACGAGGTCCTTGAGGACAGGAACCATGCCTTCTTCATCTTCGTGTCCCTGCAGCAATTAGAATCAGTGGCTGTGTGACAAATGCTGCTCAGCTGAAGCTTATCATTGACTGGTTACATTTGCTCAAGCACAAGCCCTGTTGCCAGTGGATTGGAGGAGCTGGATCCTATCTATCTTTGTCTCCCCCAAAACATCTGGCTACGAGTTCCTAGCATGTAGTGTGCTCTAAAATAGGAGTTTGCTGAAGTAATTAATTCATAGCTCGCATTTACTTTCCAAAGGCACCAGTGGCCCAAGTTATTGTTCAGTGTGCTCAGTAATAATAAGACCAGCACTAATAGCCAATGTTTATTGCTTGCGTAATAAGTAGCAGCTATTTCACAGACAGGATCTCATTCAATCCACATGACAACCTTGAACATGGTTATTGTGATCCCCATTTTAATGTTTATTTTTGAGAGGCAGAGAGAGACAGAGCGTGAGTGGGGGAGGGACAGAGAGAGAGGGAGACACAGAATCCAAAGCGGGCTCCAGGCTCTATCAGCACAGAGACCGACGCGGGGCTTGAACCCATGAACCGTGAGATCGTGACCTGAGCCGAAGTCAGACGCTTATCCTACTGAGCCACCCAGACGCCCCACGACCCCCATTTTAAAGAAGAGGAAACGGAGACTTTGAGAGGATCCACAGCAGGCAAAGGCCAAGTAGGTGGGCAGTATGGAGCTGGACTCCAACCCAGGTCTCACCTGATTAAAGGGCTGGTGTTTTCACCACTACCCTGCACTGCCACCCTGTGGCAGCATTCCGAAGTCCCTTGTCGGTCTCCTAAGGGCGCTCTTTTCCACTGGCCAGGTTGCCACTCTAAGGGTTGAAATTGACTTCAGAGATGGCAGTGCCTGGTGATCAGACAAGAGAGAATGTTGATAGAAATCTATTAGTTATATGGAAAAAAAAAAAGCTAAAATATCGTTTATTCCTTCTTGTGAAATGAATGCTAGATTAATACCCAAAGAACTGTATTGCTCTTCCCCAAAGTCCTGAGCCATAAAAGTCCCATCACACCGTGGGCTTCAGTTTTCTGGATTCCAAAAGGAGAGGAGTGGACTCAATCATGTCTGAGGTCTCTCTTGTGGTCGAGAATTCTGGGGTTAAAGACGTAGAATGCTGCCATCTGCTGTCAGAACGCTATACTACAGGCACCTGAGGAATCTAGACCATTTACGGGGGATTAACACTAAGGGTTTGTGCTTCCTCACTTGGTTTTCATTTGCTCATCCACCTATTCCATTGACATTTACCGTGAGTTCTGTTTTCCCACATTCTGTGGTAAGGCTAAAGAATAAAAAAACGCCTAAGAACTATCTCACTAAAATCTGAAATCATACATGCAACCACTATGGTTGTTATAACTCTATTCTCTGAAGCCCGTCCCCCCCCCCCATACACACACCTTGCCAGCCCCCTGTCCTCCACGAGAGGAGGCATTTGCCCCCCACCATGCAGACCAGCCCCACCTGAACCAGTCCTGACCACGGACAGCAGCCTTAGCCAACAGCAGGCCTCCAATTCCTCAGCCTTGTCAGAGCCTGATCTTGAGCTCTGGTTTTTGGGCCTGTGTTTGCACCCCACTCTCCAAATGCATTCTCTAGATGTGGGTAAAGAGTCCCTCTTTTTTTCTTACGTGCCTGAACCCATAAAGTTTTAACCCTTCAACATTGACCCCGGAACCCCGATTTTTGCACAGTTTTGCGGCATCCTAGGTTGTATCAGAGGGGTGTGGTGTGAGGGCCACCAAGTTAGCATGGCCAGTGTGGCAGTGGAGCGTTCGGTCTCTCATGTCAGAGTGCAGTGAGAGATTTCCTTCTTGAGTGGTTCCGCAGACATTTCCTTTCGAGTTAGAACACCAGTTCCTGGCCTTCTGGGACTTGGGCACTGCCTGATATCCCACTGTCCTCACTGCCTTAGTCCTCTGGGACCCAGAGTCCTTTCCGGAGTTGCTTACATCTGGTTGCTATGACCCTCAGGTCCCCAACTGTAGGGGCACTATCTTGATTCAGACCATGGCTCTCCTCATCACTTTGACATTGACGCTCTGGAGACCATATTTGGACGCTGGACCCAACTCCTAATCATCAGCCTCCCCCTAGTGGGGAAAGGAGGTCCTTGTTCCAAGTCCCAGTCCCAGCTCTGCCCTTTCGGCCATGTCCCTGCTCACCCAAGTCCTATAATATAGCACACAAGTACCCTCTAAGCTCTGGCCTGGCTTGCGTCTCTGTTTTTCTCTCCCCTCCTCCAACATTTCTCTGACTCCATGGGGGTTCCAAGTGTTCATTTCGAAACTTGGAGTCTAGAACAGCCAACTTGGTTAAACTTATTATTTACACTGTATCTTCTTTCCAAAAGTTTCCTGACAGAAACGATATCTAACTCAAAAGAGATAATACAAAGAAACAGAGAAGAATTAACTAAATCTGTCTAAAATAATACAAACCAGTATGCTGTCAGTTGACGACAGAGTGCCAGTGGACCCGACAATTTATGCATTGACGTGCAGTCACATACACTTACTTCATGGGTTACAGGAAGATATCCATGAAGGTGGTTGTGGTAGACAGCGCTGTCTCAGAAGTCCATGAAGATAGAGCACTAATCATGTGATAAAAGCAATCCTTATCTGTTTTCTATTCTTCTTGTAATCACTCAGGTTTGGGGACAGTTTTACAGGAGGCTTAAGAATAGGACTGTTTTTTCAAGTTACCCAAGAGGTCATTCTTTGGTAAAAATCTCTTCCTCTACGTCTGCCCTCAGCTCTTCCACAGATGTAGTTCGGCCATGTTTGCCGGGAGCCCGTGATGTTCCAGATGGGAGTTAGACTTCCCGTGTACCTCATCAAGGCTGCCTCAGGCAGGAAAACCTACTTCCGCACTTGATTCAAAGTCAAATCCTTAAATTTATTTAGAGGCCTTTGTTTGGGCGAGGTTCATTCTTACCTAAGAGGGTTCAGAGACTTTCACATACAAAACAAAAACAAAAACAAAAACAAAAACAAACCAAAAAAACCACACACACACACACACACACACACACACACACACACACACCTGTATCGACAACCTTGGCGGAACAAGACTGACAAAACGCAGACCAAAGCAAGAGCCCCAAGTGGATTTAATGCTGCGGCAATTCTCTTTGTGTGCTGAAAGTCACTTGAATCAATTTTTTAAAACAGTCACTTCTCTTCAGACCAGCTAAAAACACTTGTTAGAATGCATCCAAATTAAATTGTGCTCATGGGCTTTTTTGTTCATTTGACAAACGTTTCTGGAGCCCCTACGATGTGCCAGACCCTGTCCCGTGGATGCGGTGTTGAAAAGATGACAAGGTCCCTGCTCTCCTGCCGCTGACATTGTGCATTTCCTGGGGTTTGAGAATGAAATCCCAAGAGTCTGAAAAAGTTGTTTTAGTGAAAATGTTCACAGATGATTTAATGTCTGTGACGTACACCAATAGATTTTTTAAATTTTTTGTAATGTTTATTTTTGAGAGAGAGACAGAGCGTGAGTGGGGGAGGGGAGGAGAGAAAGAGGAGACTCAGAATCCCAAGCAGGCTTCAGGCTCTGAGCTGTTAGCACAGAGCCCGACGTGGGGCTCAAACCCACGGGCCACGAGATCATGACCTGAGTGAAAGTTGGACGCTTAACCCATGAGTCACCCAGGCGCCCCACCAATAGATATATTTAATAAATGTTTGGTAAATGAAATTGACCTACCAACATACATTTATTAATTACTCAAAAATCTGAGCATTCTAAACTGAAATTCAGTGTGTTACTTCAGTTATTTGAGTGGACTCAGGCCATGAGGATCCACAATCTTTTGGTGGATAGCCTGTCACCGGAAAACACGTGGGGTGATATGGAAAGGCCAGAAATACCACATTCCCATGAAGTAATTACCTAGGACTTCAAGAGGTTTTATTTTCTTTTGTTTTGAAGGCAAAAGTGCTAAGCAAAATGAGCCTGACTGGCCGAGGCACTGCTTTCAGAAAGCTTGGATTTAAAGAAAGAGGAGGGGCACCTGGGTGTCTCGGTGAAGCGTCCAACTCTTGATTTCAGCTTCAGGTCATGATCTCACAGTTCACGAGTTCGAGCCCCACTGTCAGTGCGGAGCCCGCTTGGGATTCTCTCCCTCCCCTCTCTCTGCCCCTCCCTTGCATGCTCACTCCCTCTCTCTCTCTCAATAAATGGACAAATAAGTAAATGAAAAGAATAGTCACTCAGTTTGTCAAATATTTCATAATAAATAATAGTCTTATGTCAGAATTTAATGGAGAAAAAGACATGATCCTAACAGAAATATATAACTGCAATAATTTGTAAAATGATTTTGAAGGAAATGGTTATTAAATTAAAAATTCCTGTATTCATCCACTTGGCAAACGATTGCCAAACACTAGCTCTTGAGCCCCTGAAGCGTGAGCTGTGAAAGACACAAAGTCTTATGGCTCTTGGGTTTTAGAAGCGTTCCATCCAGTAGGTGAGGGGAGACGGGGCATGTGGTAAGACAACATAGGAGTTCAGACGAAAAACTGATGCGTTCGTAGGAGAAGCCTTTAGGCTGCGCTGATCAGGAGACACTCTGCGGAGGCTGCATTCAGTCGGATCCTCCAGGATGGGTGGGATTTTTTTTTCAATGAAAACGGAAAGAAATTCAGGGCAGCGTGAGCCAAGAACGAGAGGCAAGTCCACATGAAGTCAGTTCAGGGAATTTCCAGGGACTAATCTAGCTTAGCCAGGAGCTCTTCCGCTTTCCTGTTCTATGGAACTGTGGTATTTGGAAAAAAAAAAAAAGCAGCCTGAGGATCCAAATGGAGGCAAAAGTTTAGGACAGAGGATAGTCATTGTGTTTTTAGATATGTTGAATTTGAGGAGATGGCAGGCTACCTAAGAAGAAGCGGCCTCGGGCAGGGCAGAAGTGAGTCCTGGACTGAACCCATCCAGACTGGATAGGGAGAGCCGTGGGAGGCACAGGCGCAGAGAGAAAAGGATAAAACTGTGGGTTCTTCAGTGTGACTGCTTAAATCCTTGACTTCACTTTTGTCCCTTCTACCTACACTTCCCTCTGTGTGCCCGCCATCCCTCCTCCTGCCGCTGTACTAAATGGCCTGTGTCCTATTTTTTGTGGGACACCTGCTGCCTAGCAAAACACCTGACCTAGTAGGTGCTCAATAAGTGTTTGTTCAATAGATGAATGAATGAATTCAGTGCAAAACTGGCTTCTGAGGAAACTTGAAGATTGTGACCTAATTTCTTTGACTCTCCAGCCATCAAGTGCCCAGAATTATTTGCCCCAGAGCAGGGAAGCCTGGCTTGTTCTGACACCCGCAGAGAATTCAGTGTTGGCTACACCTGCCATTTCTCCTGTAACAAGGGCTTTAAGCTGGAGGGATCTAATGATGTTGAATGCACAGCTTCCGGAAAATGGACAACACCTCCACCAACCTGCAAAGGTAAAATACACTCACTGAGACCACTCTTCTGGAAACGTCTTCAAAAGTAACAAAAGCCCATATAAGCTCTTACTATGTGACAGGTATGCGTGATGGCATTATTATCGTGAAAGCTTTGTTTCTTGTTACGAAATATCTGTTGGGATCTAGGAAACATAGCCTATGGATTTAAGAATTTATAAGGAGTGATAGGACTTCTCACTTTTGTGAAATAAAAGATATATTGGTGCTTTTTTCTTTTTCCTTCTTTTGAGAGAGAGAGAGAGAGCATGTGCACACATACACACGAGCTGGGGAGGAGCTGAGGGAGAGAGAGAGAGAGAGAGAGAATCTTATTTAACCAGGCTCCCTGCCCAGCACAGAGCCCAACGCAGGGCTCGAGCTCACAACTGTGAGACCATGACCTGAGCCAAAACCTAAGCCATGACGCTTAACCGACTGAGCCATCCAGGCTCCCTGAAGTTATATTTATTCTTTTCTTGTTAAATGTTTATTTTTTGAGGTAATGCGAGAGACAGAGTGCACGTGGCAGGGGGGGGGGTGGGGTGCAGACAGAGGGAGACACAGAATCCGAAGCAGGCTCCAGGCTCCAAGCCCTCAGCACAGAGCCTGACGAGGGGCTTGAACTCACGAGCTGTGAGATCGTGACCCGAGCCAAAGTCGGACGCTTTCTCGACTGAGCCACTCAGGCGCCCCAATTCTTAAGCAGAAATTTTCTTTCGTAATTTTGGCCTCTTTTGCTCAGAGACCTTTACTGAGTCGATTGCATGTTCTCCGTGTATTCATTGTGATGAGAAGTACAAGGCGTGGGGGTCACTAACTCAGTTTTTCAAATCGAGGAACTGAGAGAGAGGTCATGAACATCTTTCTGCGACATGGAAAGTTAGCGACAAAGCCAGTGGCATCGTGCATACCTTACATTTCGTGCTGACCTTTGACCAGCAGGCAATGCCACATCCCAATGAAGCAGCGAGGGCAGGCAATTGGCCTGTGTGTATTTCGCTTTCTACTGAATTTCTACGTTTTGGCACCAAATCTTCCTTTTTCTTTCTTTCTTTCTTTTTTTTTTCTTTTGTCAGTATTGGTAACATTGACCTCATGCCCCACACCCCGTTCTTCCTGGGGCCTAGAGCATTACCTCCCCAAGGGTATTTTTCAGTATTTTTTTTTTCTCACCTGGTTTTCCATACCTGAGATTGCCAATCTTCCTCAACGTCCTTGAGAAGCTGTCGCTAGAGCCTTCGTTGCTACAGAAAGAGTGGAAGGTGCTTACGCCACGTCAGTCTTCACCCCGTTACGCCCCGTGTCACTGGGATCTCTCTAAATGGAAACGCTTTTTCACAGCAGGTGTGGTATCAGCTCCTCTCTCAGAGGTTCGATGCCCAGCCCTCATCACTCTGGAGCAGGGAACAGTGTCCTGTAGGCATGGTCTGGGAACCTTTGGCCCGAATACCACGTGTTACTTTGGATGCCACGCTGGATTCACCCTCACGGGAGGCCGTGCTCTCAGATGCAGGCCTTCGGGACAATGGACGGCGGGAGCTCCCAAGTGCAGAGGTAATGGCAATGGGGCAGGCGGTTCGGGTGCTATCTTCCAGCTGGTGCCCACGCACAGCGTCGCCCCTACCTGTTGAAATCGCTTCCAGCCCCAACGACCCCTTCACGTGTCGGCTCCTCGGTGAAGTCCCCACCGATCCCGGTGAGAGGTAACCTGCCGCAGGCGTGTCGCCGCTCCCCTTGCTGTGTCACAAGCGAGTGGCCTGCTCTCGAAGACGTGAGGGAGGAAACGCTTGTAAAATGTCCAGGTGTGTGAGGACAGCAAGTTGTGAAATACACGCTGCCGTTCCACGAATTATGTGATAGTGTGAACATGCCGTATTTTCATAGCTGGAACCTGAATGAAAAGATATGCCGTGTATGATACCTCTGGAAGAGCTGTCACCCCCTGCGGGAGGTACCGTGTCTCTCCCGTCTTTGTATTCCCCATGAAGCACAGGAACAGCGCTTTGTAAATGTCACCATTTCTCAAGAATGTTTATTTGAGTTCAACTTTATTTCCTGAGCTTTAGTTTCCTATCTACGAATTAGGGACAATAACCCGAAGTTCCCTGAAGATAAGTTTGATTTTTTTTTTTTTAACTTTTATTTATGTTTGAGAGAGAGAGAGACGGAGAGAGTGCAAGTGGGGGAGGGGGAGAGAGAGAGAGGGAGACACAGAATCCCAAGCAGGCTCCAGGCTCCGAGCTGTCAGCCCAGAGCCCGAGGCGGGTCTCGAACCCAGGAACCATGAGATCATGACCTGAGCTGAAGTCGGACGCTCAACCGACTGAGCCACCCAGGCGCCCCTCCCTGAAGAAAAGTTTAAAGGGGGTGACATTCTCTACTTCATTCAAACTTCCAGAGGCCAGCCATGCTGAACGCTTACCAAGTGTCTCAATAAACACGTGCTGACATGCCAGCAAATCGCCCATGGCAGTAAGAATAACATTTAGAACAGCGGTGCTTTTGAGAAGCCAAATACTGAAAATAGTATTTTTGTAGGTAAGATTGATGGAGCCACTAGGAGGTATTTATTGAATGCTCCCTCCTGGTTCTTCAGCTGTCATCCTCTGAGCGGACATCTCAGTATGTGTGATCTTGGAGGAGCTGGTGTGAATGTCAGCAGTGGCTCATCTCCCTTCTGATCTTTCACATTCATACCCCAGCCGCTGGCAACGCTAGCCAGGTCGCAAATGAAACCAGAATCTCTGTTACCTTCCTTCTGAATGTTTGTTTTTCCCGCATTCCTTCTTTCTGCAGCTGTCAAGTGCTCCGAGCTGCGTGTTAGCGAGCCAGGCACGATGAACTGCTCCAACCCCTGGGGAAATTTCAGCTACGGCTCCACCTGCAGCTTCCGTTGTCCGGAAGGCCAGTTACTTAATGGCTCAGCAAGAACCACATGCCAAGAGGATGGCCAGTGGTCAACCCCCATGCCAACCTGCCAAGGTATGGATTAGGAAGTCATTCGATAAGGAACATAACAAAATCAGTATTCCTTTTCTGTGTATTTCTTTAATTTTTTTTCTTTCTTTAGTTTAGAGGAGAGGGCATAAGTGGGGAGAGGGGCAGCAGGAGAGAGAGAGAGAGAGAGAGAGAGAGAGAGAGAGAGAATCTCAAGCAGGCTCCACACTCAGCACGGAGCCTGATGTGGGGCTTGATCTCATGACCCTGCGATCATGACCTGAGCTGAAATCAAGAATCAGATGCTCAGCCAAGGGAGCCACCCAGGTGCCCCTGTTCTGTGTATTTCTGACAGTGGTCTCACTTTCACTGGGTTTCCCCTATGTTTAATAAATATTTCACAATGAATCAAGCAGAATCTCCTTGCCTCCTGCAGAGCAATGGGAATTAAATTCAATGACTCTACAGACAATCCCCACTCCAGAGCAGAGCTCACATTTGTCAGATGCACCCTCTCATGTCTTTATAACCTGTGTGTAATAAATACATCTTGAAGTTTCAGAATGTTTTTAATGGGAGGTTATTTCTTGAAGATTCCTAATTAATGATCTCAGAAGAATTTTCTGTACCACACGCCTCTAAAAACACACGGGGGGCGCCTGGGTGGTGCAGTCGGTTAAGCATCCGACTTCAG